TTGTCACTGTTGGTTGTGGTTGGCACTGTTGGGTGTGGTTGTCACTGTTGGTTGTGGTTGTCACTGTTGGGTGTGGTTGTCACTGTTGGGTGTGGTTGTCACTGTTGGGTGTGTGGTTGTCACTGTTGGTTGTGGTTGTCACTGTTGGTTGTGTGGTTGTCACTGTTGGGTGTGTGGTTGTCACTGTTAGTTGTGTCGTTGTCACTGTTGGGTGTGTGGTTGTCACTGTTGGTTGTGGTTGTCACTGTTGGTTGTGTGGTTGTCACTGTTGGTTGTGTGGTTGTCACTGTTGGTTGTGGTTGTCACTGTTGGTTGTGGTTGTCACTGTTGGTTGTGGTTGTCACTGTTGGTTGTGTGGTTGTCACTGTTGGGTGTGTGGTTGTCACTGTTGGTTGTGTGGTTGTCACTGTTGGTTGTGTGGTTGTCACTGTTGGGTGTGTGGTTGTCACTGTTGGTTGTGTGGTTGTCAGTTGGGTGTGGTTGTCACTGTTGGTTGTGTGGTTGTCACTGTTGGTTGTGTGGTTGTCACTGTTGGGTGTGTGGTTGTCACTGTTGGGTGTGTGGTTGTCACTGTTGGGTGTGTGGTTGTCACTGTTGGGTGTGGTTGTCACTGTTGGGTGTGTGGTTGTCACTGTTGGTTGTGTGGTTGTCACTGTTGGTTGTGTGGTTGTCACTGTTGGTTGTGTGGTTGTCACTGTTGGGTGTGGTTGTCACTGTTCGGGGTGTGGTTGTCACTGTTGGTTGTGTGGTTGTCACTGTTGGTTGTGTGGTTGTCACTGTTGGTTGTGTGGTTGTCACTGTTGGTTGTGTGGTTGTCACTGTTGGTTGTGGTTGTCTGGTTGTCACTGTTGGTTGTGTGGTTGTCACTGTTGGTTGTGTGGTTGTCACTGTTGGTTGTGGTTGTCTGGTTGTCACTGTTGGTTGTGTGGTTGTCACTGTTGGTTGTGTGGTTGTCACTGTTGGGTGTGGTTGTCACTGTTCGGGGTGTGGTTGTCACTGTTGGTTGTGTGGTTGTCACTGTTGGTTGTGTGGTTGTCACTGTTGGTTGTGTGGTTGTCACTGTTGGTTGTGTGGTTGTCACTGTTGGTTGTGGTTGTCTGGTTGTCACTGTTGGTTGTGTGGTTGTCACTGTTGGGTGTGGTTGTCACTGTTGGTTGTGTGGTTGTCACTGTTGGGTGTGGTTGTCACTGTTGGGTGTGGTTGTCACTGTTGGTTGTGGTTGTCACTTTTGGTTGTGTGGTTGTCACTGTTGGGTGTGGTTGTCACTGTTGGTTGTGTGGTTGTCACTGTTGGTTGTGTGGTTGTCACTGTTGGTTGTGTGGTTGTCACTGTTGGGTGTGGTTGTCACTGTTGGTTGTGTGGTTGTCACTGTTGGTTGTGTGGTTGTCACTGTTGGGTGTGGTTGTCACTGTTGGTTGTGTGGTTGTCACTGTTGGTTGTGGTTGTCACTGTTGGTGAGGTGACAGCTGGTGTCACCACTATCAACAGGAAGTTGATGCCTCTTTAATTGACCAACAAGTTGACATTGTTATGGTAGTAGTGGTGGTGGTGATGGTGGTGGCAGAACTTGTGGTAGTAGTGGTGGTGATGGTGGTGGCAGAACTTGTGGTAGTAGTGGTGGTGATGGTGGTGGCAGAACTTGTGGTAGTAGTGGTGGTGATGGTGGTGGCAGAACTTGTGGTAGTAGTGGTGGTGATGGTGGTGGCAGAACTTGTGGTAGTAGTGGTGGTGATGGTGGTGGCAGAACTTGTGGTAGTAATGGTGGTGGCAGAACTTATGGTGGTAGTGGGGGGGGGTGGCAGAACTTATGGTGGTAGTAGTGGTGGTGGTGGCAGAACTTATGGTGGTAGTAGTGGGGGGGGGGTGGTGGCAGAACTTATGGTGGTAGTAGTGGTGGTGGTGGCAGAACTTGTGGTAGTAGTGGTGGTGGCAGAACTTATGGTGGTAGTAGTGGGGGGGGTGGTGGTGGCAGAACTTAGGGTGGTAGTAGTGGGGGGGGGGTGGTGGTGGCAGAACTTATGGTGGTAGTAGTGGTGGTGATGGTGGTGACAGAACTTGTGGTAGTAGTGGTGGTGGCAGAACTTATGGTGGTAGTAGTGGTGGTGATGGTGGTGGCAGAACTTATGGTGGTAGTAGGGGGGGGTAGTGGTGGCAGAACTTATGGTGGTAGTAGTGGTGGTGATGGTGGTGGCAGAACTTATGGTGGTAGTAGTGGGGGGGGGGGTGGTGGTGGCAGAACTTATGGTGGTAGTAGTGGGGGGGGGTGGTGGTGGCAGAACTTATGGTGGTAGTAGTGGGGGGGGTGGTGGTGGCAGAACTTATGGTGGTAGTAGTGGTGGTGGTGGCAGAACTTATGGTGGTAGTAGTGGGGGGGGTGGTGGTGGCAGAACTTATGGTGGTAGTAGTGGGGGGGGTGGTGGTGGCAGAACTTATGGTGGTAGTAGTGGTGGTGGTGACAGAACTTATGGTGGTAGTAGTGGGGGGGGGTGGTGGTGGCAGAACTTATGGTGGTAGTAGTGGTGGTGATGGTGGTGGCAGAACTTGTGGTAGTAATGGTGGTGACAGAACTTATGGTGGTAGTAGTGGTGGTGGTGACAGAACTTATGGTGGTAGTAGTGGTGGTGATGGTGTATCAGTGCCTACGGGGCGGCGAGGTTTAGCTCTTAATGTCCCGTTTACAAGATTTACTGTACCTGTTGCGTTATAACTAAACACCCTAATGTTGGCATGCCTTGTCAACTCTGGCCTTAAAGTTGTGGACGGAGGTGGCTTCCATAACTTCCTTCAGTGTATTCCACCTGCTGCCTGCTGACGTACAGGCTACGAGCACTTCCTTACATTTCTCTGACCTATTTCCGTTTTCAGCCTCCACCTGTGTCCTCTTGCCCTATTTTCCTTATATTTAAGTAAGATAACTTTGTTTCCCTTCAGTATCTTGTATATTGTGATAATAGCCCAACTGTTTCTCCTACTCACTGGGGTTGTGAGATATTGTTCCACTAGACAATCCTCTTTTTGAAAACCTTTGTACTTTTTACATTTTGGTTTATTGCTACAGCAGGTTGTACACTCCAGGCCAGTCCTGTGTGTCCAATATTGGCCAAAGACTGTAGAGTGCCTTGAAAGTGTCCTGATTTAGGTTTCTTAATGTTGTAACGTTTGCCAGCATCACATATGCTACTGATGGTACCATACTTGTGTGTGTGCCTTTCAGTGTTAGTGTTGGAATTATATGCACTCCAAAATGTTTTCTTCTCTCCTACTCTTGCAGTTGCTTTCCCCTCGTGGTGTAAATACTTCCTGGTCTCCTTCTCCTTCCCGTCTTGCCTACTTTACACGTGTTGTGGTTGAATTCTTGAACCATTTGTTTGTCCACTCGTGGAGCTTGTCAAGGTCTTTCTGTACCTTTTTGCAGTCCTCAATTTGTACATTCCTCATCAGCTGTGCATTGTGTGCGAACACTGAGGTGTACTCGCTCACTTCCGCCACCACTCACGTAAGTTAGGAGAGTACGGGTACCAGGACCCACCCTTGGGGGACCTCGTTCCTTACTTTCCTCCAGCTCGACGCCTCATCTCTGTGACTGTTCTTCAGGTGTTTTCTCAGTTATCTCAGGCTGCTTCTCCGTCTTGTACGTCAGTCTTTCACAAGGAACAGCATCAGCTGCTTTTTGACACAAGGAAAATATAGTCTGTCTAGAATATTTGTTCCTGTCATATTTTATTTACCTTGTCATAGATCTCTATCAAGTTTGTCAGGCACGATTCTTTCCTTCTAAATCCATACTGCCCCTTTGTTACAAACTTTATCCTCTACAGATGTGCAATTATTCTTACTCTGATAACTTTTCCAGCCCTTTACACGGAATACTCGTTAGTAACACTGAGTAACACTTCTTAGTGATTTGACTGTTTTATGTGCTTTCCGTTTTAATATTTTCTCCCCATAACGCAGTAGCTGAAACACCCTCATTAAACATCACATTATTTTCTGTGGCCCAGTCAAAGACCTGATTACCATCAGTTTGGAGGCTTGCTGTGTCCTCTATAATGTCTGCTATGATGACAAATATTAGCGCCATCTCTAAAGGATGATACGGCACCATAGTTTATATATCCTCGTCTGTATCAGTTATATAAATGAGGAAAAGTACCTGAGCAAGCACAGTACCCTTGGTGGATGATCAGAGTTGTACCTTGCTGAATGTTAAACTCTGTTCGTTAGGAAACTGAAGATCCAATTCTCTCCTTGCACGGTGACACCTTGTGTCCGCGTGTGGGACTAATTCCTGACACTCAGGAAAAATATAATTAGTTTACCCAAACATTAAAGTTTGAAAACGTCAATATTGGGTACATTACTTTTTAGTAATACGTCGCATTTTAAACGGATTGGTCGACCCCCGTAAAGAATACGAGGTAATAGGTGAGAGGAAGGGTTGGATAAGGTGCGTCTCGTGTGCCTGGCCATGTTGTGGGGGAGACGGGAGACCCAACACTCTCCACATCACAGTTACCACATCAACTTCCACAACATCACACTGCTCTACAGATGATGTTAAGTTTGTTAATAAAGTCGAGAGTACAGTCTTCACTCGTGGCAGGTACAATTATTGGTGACATATTGATATAAAGACATTCACACAACTAATCATTATATTATTAAAGAAAAAATCCTAAAGAGAAAGATACTTTAATTCAATTTCCTTTCAAGTTTAATTCAGTGAAGTTTCACGAGGAACTGCTTTATAATCCAAGTGTGAATCACTTGTTATCAAGTGAGTTAGCATAATATTTCCTCATACAACTTCAGTAATGACTTGGAATTAGCGTGTAACAAATCCTTATTCTCCACTGGCAACTGAAGTGTTCACGAGTCTGGTTAGTTTAATATCTTCCTTATAAGATAGACCGAACGGTAGTCCAGATTACAGACAATATTGGAGACGCCGGATACAAGTTATTCTGCTTGGTCACTTTGCTCCATGACACACCCTGGAGCGTGACTCTCACACCCTGGAGCGTGACTCGCACACCCTGGAGCGTGACTCGCACACCCTGGAGCGTGACTCGCACACCCTGGAGCGTGACTCGCACACCCTGGAGCGTGACTCACACACCCTGGAGCGTGACTCGCACGCCCTGGAGCGTGACTCGCACACCCTGGAGCGTGACTCTCACACCCTGGAGCGTGACTCTCACACCCTGGAACGTGACTCTCACGCCCTGGAGCGTGACTCTCACGCCCTGGAGCGTGACTCTCACGCCCTGGAGCGTGACTCTCACGCCCTGGAGCGTGACTCTCACGCCCTGGAGCGTGACTCACACACCCTGGAGCGTGACTCTCACGCCCTGGAGCGTGACTCTCACGCCCTGAAGCGTGACTCACACACCCTGGAGCGTGACTCACACACCCTGGAGCGTGACTCACACACCCTGGAGCGTGACTCTCACGCCCTGGAGCGTGACTCTCACGCCCTGGAGCGTGACTCTCACGCCCTGGAGCGTGACTCTCACGCCCTGGAGCGTGACTCACACACCCTGGATCGTGACTCACTCACCCTGGAGCGTGACTCACACACCCTGGAGCGTGACTCACACACCCTGGAGCGTGACTCACACACCCTGGAGCGTGACTCACACACCCTGGAGCGTGACTCTCACCCCCTGGAGCGTGACTCTCACCCCCTGGAGCGTGACTCTCACCCCCTGGAGCGTGACTCTCACCCCCTGGAGCGTGACTCTCACCCCCTGGAGCGTGACTCTCACCCCCTGGAGCGTGACTCTCACCCCCTGGAGCGTGACTCTCACCCCCTGGAGCGTGACTCTCACCTCCCCTGGAGCGTGACTCTCACCTCCCCTGGAGCGTGACTCTCACCTCCCCTGGAGCGTGACTCTCACCTCCCCTGGAGCGTGACTCTCACCTCCCCTGGAGCGTGACTCTCACCTCCCCTGGAGCGTGACTCTCACCCCCTGGAGCGTGACTCTCACCCCCTGGAGCGTGACTCTCACCCCCCTGGAGCGTGACTCTCACCTCCCCTGGAGCGTGACTCTCACCTCCCCTGGAGCGTGACTCTCACCTCCCCTGGAGCGTGACTCTCACCTCCCCTGGAGCGTGACTCTCACCTCCCCTGGAGCGTGACTCTCACCTCCCCTGGAGCGTGACTCTCACCTCCCCTGGAGCGTGACTCTCACCTCCCCTGGAGCGTGACTCTCACCTCCCCTGGAGCGTGACTCTCACCTCCCCTGGAGCGTGACTCTCACCTCCCCTGGAGCGTGACTCTCACCTCCCCTGGAGCGTGACTCTCACCTCCCCTGGAGCGTGACTCTCACCTCCCCTGGAGCGTGACTCTCACCTCCCCTGGAGCGTGACTCTCACCCCCCTGGAGCGTGACTCTCACCCCCCTGGAGCGTGACTCTCACCCCCCTGGAGCGTGACTCACCCCCCCCCCCCTGGAGCGTGACTCTCACCCCCCTGGAGCGTGACTCTCACCCCCCTGGAGCGTGACTCTCACACCCTGGAGCGTGACTCTCACCCCTGGAGCGTGACTTTCACCCCTCTGGAGCGTGACTCGCACGCCCTGGAGCGTGACTCTCACCCCCTGGAGCGTGACTCTCACCCCCTGGAGCGTGACTCTCACCCCCTGGAGCGTGACTCTCACCCCCTGGAGCGTGACTCTCACCCCCTGGAGCGTGACTCTCACCCCCTGGAGCGTGACTCTCACCCCCTGGAGCGTGACTCTCACCCCCTGGAGCGTGACTCTCACCCCCTGGAGCGTGACTCTCACCCCCTGGAGCGTGACTCACACCCCCCCTGGAGCGTGACTCGCACGCCCTGGAGCGTGACTCTCACGGGAGTCGTTCCAATTCGAATCCAATTCCAAACATCTCTTCCACTTTTAGTCTTTGAGGTGTGCGGCTTGAGCATATTTCTAGAGCTACTGAGCCTATTTTCTGGAGGCACTGGTTGCATTTTCTAGTTGTTCTTCCCGGCTTTTTCCTGTGAGATCTTGGCTCATTAATTCTCAGTTAATTTCTTTATTATTAAAGTTGCTGAATTCATCTAAGATTTGGGACAAGCGGCACAGGTCTATCGTCTATGCTTGTCTGAACTTCAATTAGGTTGTGATCTGAGAAACAGGTATTGGAAATGTAGACGAGGTCATAATAACGAGGCTCAAGATATGACCAAACCACCCACTTTATGGACCACTCGTTCCGGTCCGTCCTGGACCACTCGTTCCGGTCCGTCCTGGACCACTCGTCCCGGTCCGTCCTGGACCATCATCAAGTCGTGTGTCTTAGGACATTGACTTCACGGACCGACACTTCGTCATTTCTTCAGCTCCTGATGTGTGCTTTGGTCATCAGGTATTTGAACTCATTGTTCCTGATCAATTCATCGTTATTGGTGAAAATAAGGTCCCGTGTGTGTTCTTTTCTAGTTCTCTTGTTTGCTGGTCTGAGGCAAATTTGTCACACATCCGTAATGTCATTTGTGTGTGACTGTTCATTTAGACTGCTTCCTGGGAGTCTGGCTCTCAGATTGTTTCATTTCAGGTGCCGTAGGTTGAAGTCACCACGCAAGATGACATCTGGGGCAGGGTTTGTGAGGTTTTATATTCAGTGTTCATTAGTTTATCTTTAAACTGCTGAGGATTTGCCTCTGGTGACCTATATACAAGGATAATAACTACATTTAGGCTCTTGTTATTTTGATTATCAGCACTTCCACCATATTGTTTGTGGTGTTTAGCAGCTCAGTACAGATGAGTGTGTGATGTACAGGCTGACCCCACCCTGTAGCCTGTGATGTACAGGCTTGACCCCCACCCTGTAGCCTGTGATGTACAGGCTGACCCCACCCTGTAGCCTGTGATGTACAGGCTTGACCCCCACCCTGTAGCCTGTGATGTACAGGCTGACCCCACCCTGTAGCCTGTGATGTACAGGCTTGACCCCCACCCTGTAGCCTGTGATGTACAGGCTGACCCCACCCTGTAGCCTGTGATGTACAGGCTTGACCCCCACCCTGTAGCCTGTGATGTACAGGCTGACCCCACCCTGTAGCCTGTGATGTACAGGCTGACCCCACCCTGTTGCCTGTGATGTACAGGCTGACCCCACCCTGTAGCCTGTGATGTACAGGCTTGACCCCCACCCTGTAACCGGTGTTTCCTGTCACATCTGGAAAGATTGTACTCTGGTATCCATATTTCACTATGATAATAAACCTTTAAGTTCCAGTTAGTGGCACAAACACCACATTTGCCTCATTTACGAGGCCAGCTATAAAGTGAACTTTGTTTGATTTGCGTGTTTTTATAACCTGAATGTTGGCAAATGTAAATATTATCGTATTTGTGTAAGTGTTTTACTTGGGTGTTAATATCTGAGGTTGTGGCAGGGGGGACCAGTGTGTTTGTGTCCTCTCTCACAGTTGTGAAAATACGGACACGGACACACCCGCCACCATGGTACAAGTCACCTATATTAATATTTTATTTCAGTTTTTGTCACTAAAATACATTGTAGTTTTTCTTTAGTTTCTACCAAATGAATTGACTCGTGCCTCAGTAGAGAAGTCAGCCGACACTCACCAGGATTTAATTTTGATCCTCACAGGACCTGGAATCCTGTGAGCCCTCACAATACCCTGTGTGGTGAGGAGGCAGTCGCCAGCACCCTCACTACGCCTCACTCACCATGCAAATCACGGACCTGCCAACCGTGGCTTGCGGCCCATGCGGGATCGCCTCATACATAATGGTATAAGCATTGTTCAATATGTCTCTTGGGAGAGATTTACAGAAACCAGAGGAGCAGGTCAGAGTTCAAGCACCGCTCCCCACCAGTGTCATCATGCAGAAAATATTGGCACAATTCATCTTAGTTCCCTGTAATTCTTCGGCGCCACCAACCCTCGTCTGAGGCAGCCTCGTATGCCAGCCATCTATGGCCAGTTATGTTATGTATGATGTAGGTATACCTCCTGCCTCCCTGCCCCAGCCTCCCCCTGCCCCAGCCTCCCCCAGCCCCAGCCTCCCCCTGCCCCAGTCTCCCCCAGCCTCCCCCTGCCTCAGCCTCCCCCTGCCCCAGTCTCCCCCTGCCTCAGCCTCCCCCCTGCCCCAGCCTCCCCCTGCCCCAGCCTCCCCCTGCCCCAGCCTCCCCCTGCCCCAATAGGTACACAGCGTGGTAATTCAAGTAACCTTTGCCACAAAGCAGGCGGTGCCCGAGCCTTACCACAGCGCCCATTGTGACGAGTGAGTGAGTCTCCCCCAGGAGCGGACTGTCGCACAGTAACTGGCCAGTACAGGTGCCTGCTGACTGCCAGTCCCCCTCCCCCCCTAACTGTCAGCCAGCCTCCAAGGGAACGATTCCCTTACCTTTCCTTACCTTACCCTACCTGGCTGACAGGTTGCCAATGGGAAGCTGGCTACCAGGCAGCTAAATATCCACTGACAATCTTAACATAGCTATTGACGACCCCGAGTAACACGATGGGTGAAGCTGTCAACGGCCTGGCACTTGTGGCCACTGGGGCACTCACAGAGGCACTGTGTGACCACTGAGGCACTCACAGAGGCACTGTGTGACCACTGAGGCACTCACAGAGGCACTTTGTGACCACTGGGGCACTCACAGAGGCACTTTGTGACCACTGGGGCACTCACAGAGGCACTTTGTGACCACTGGGGCACTCACAGAGGCACTGTGTGACCACTGAGGCACTCACAGAGGCACTTGTGACCACTGGGGCACTCACAGAGGTACTTTGTGACCACTGGGGCACTCAGAGGCACTGTGTGACCACTGGGGCACTCACAGAGGCACTGTGTGACCACTGGGACACTCACAGAGGCACTAGTGACCATTGGGACACTCACAGAGGCACTTTGTGACCATTGGGACACTCACAGAGGCACTTTGTGACCACTGGGACACTCACAGAGGCACTTGTGACCACTGGGACACTCACAGAGGCACTTGTGACCACTGGGACACTCACAGAGGCACTAGTGACCATTGGGACACTCACAGAGGCACTTTGTGACCACTGGGACACTCACAGAGGCACTTTGTGACCATTGGGACACTCACAGAGGCACTTTGTGACCACTGGGACACTCACAGAGGCACTTTGTGACCACTGGGACACTCACAGAGGCACTTTGTGACCACTGGGACACTCACAGAGGCACTTTGTGACCATTGGGACACTCACAGAGGCACTTGTGACCACTGGGACACTCACAGAGGCACTTGTGACCACTGGGACACTCACAGAGGCACTAGTGACCATTGGGACACTCACAGAGGCACTAGTGACCATTGGGACACTCACAGAGGCACTTGTGACCACTGGGACACTCACAGAGGCACTTTGTGGCCACTGGGACACTCACAGAGGTACTTGTGACCACTGGGACACTCACAGAGGTACTTGTGACCACTGGGACACTCACAGAGGTACTTTGTGACCACTGGGACACTCACAGAGGTACTTGTGACCACTGGGACACTCACAGAGGTACTTGTGACCACTGGGACACTCACAGAGGTACTTTGTGGCCACTGGGACACTCACAGAGGTACTTGTGACCACTGGGACACTCACAGAGGCACTTGTGACCACTGGGACACTCACAGAGGCACTTGTGACCACTGGGACACTCACAGAGGCACTTGTGACCACTGGGACACTCACAGAGGCACTTGTGACCACTGGGACACTCACAGAGGCACTTGTGACCACTGGGACACTCACAGAGGCACTTGTGACCACTGGGACACTCACAGAGGCACTTGTGGCCACTGGGACACTCACAGAGGCACTTGTGACCACTGGGACACTCACAGAGGTACTTTGTGGCCACTGGGACACTCACAGAGGTACTTTGTGACCACTGGGACACTAACAGAGGTACTTGTGACCACTGGGACACTCACAGAGGTACTTGTGGCCACTGGGACACTCACAGAGGTACTTTGTGGCCACTGGGACACTCACAGAGGTACTTTGTGGCCACTGGGACACTCACAGAGGTACTTTGTGACCACTGGGACACTCACAGAGGCACTTTGTGGTCACTGGGACACTCACAGAGGTACTTTGTGACCACTGGGACACTCACAGAGGCACTTTGTGACCACTGGGACACTCACAGAGGTACTTTGTGGTCACTGGGACACTCACAGAGGCACTTTGTGACCACTGGGACACTCACAGAGGTACTTGTGACCACTGGGACACTCAGAGGCACTTGTGACCACTGGGACACTCACAGAGGCACTTGTGACCACTGGGACACTCACAGAGGTACTTGTGACCACTGGGACACTCACAAAGGCACTTGTGGCCACTGGGACACTCACAAAGGCACTTGTGACCACTGGGACACTCACAGAGGTACTTGTGACCACTGGGACACTCACAAAGGCACTTGTGACCACTGGGACACTCACAGAGGCACTTGTGACCACTGGGACACTCACAGAGGCACTTGTGACCACTGGGACACTCACAAAGGCACTTGTGACCACTGGGACACTCACAAAGGCACTTGTGACCACTGGGACACTTACAGAGGCACTTGTGACCACTGGGACACTCACAGAGGCACTAGTGACCACTGGGACACTCACAGAGGCACTAGTGACCACTGGGACACTCACAGAGGTACTTGTGACCACTGGGACACTCAGAGGTACTTGTGACCACTGGGACACTCACAGAGGCACTTGTGACCACTGGGACACTCACAGAGGCACTAGTGACCACTGGGACACTCACAGAGACACTTGTGGCCACTGGGACACTCACAGAGGCACGTGTGACCACTGGGACACTCACAGAGGCACTTGTGACCACTGGGACACTCACAGAGGCACTTGTGACCACTGGGACACTCACAGAGGCACTAGTGACCACTGGGACACTCACAGAGGCACTAAGTGGTAGGCACGTCACTCCTCCAGCCTAAAAGCCACTTCGCAGGTGGCTCGTTAAACACACAAACACTTAATTACCGGATTATAGATTAGAGAAGTTAAGGCGACGAAGGTGCTCATCTGTGAGGGTGAAGCGCGCCTCACACCTCACGCTGAGAGGTGAGGTGGGAGTGACAAGGGAGTGACAGGGGAGGGACGAGGGTGACACCGCTGAGAGGTGAGGTGGGAGTGACAAGGGAGTGACAGGGGAGGGACGAGGGTGACACCGCTGAGAGGTGAGGTGGGAGTGACAAGGGAGTGACAGGGGAGGGACGAGGGTGACACCGCTGAGAAGTGAGGTGGGAGTGACAAGGGAGTGACAGGGGAGGGATGAGGGTGACACCGCTGAGAGGTGAGGTGGGAGTGACAAGGGAGTGACAGGGGAGGGACGAGGGTGACACCGCTGAGAGGTGAGGTGGGAGTGACAAGGGAGTGACAGGGGAGGGACGAGGGTGACACCTCTGGGTTAGGTAATGCTACAGGCACCCACCGACATGTGTGGCATCAGAAATCATCTCAAATCATCTTGAGATGATTTCGGGGCTTAGCGTCCCCGCGGCCCGGTCTTCGACCAGGCCTCCTTTCTGTTATACTCGCCCAGGAAGTAGCCCGTAGCAGCTGTCTAACTCACAGGTACCTATTTACTGTTAGGTAACAAGGGCATTAGGGTGAAAGAAACTTTGTCCCATTTGTTTCCGCCTGCACCGGGGATCGAACCCGGAACCTCAGGACTACGAATACCGAGCGTTGTCCACCCAGCTGCCAGGCCTCCCTCTGCTCCCAAGGTGCTCCCAAGATGTTCACAAGGTGCTCACAAGGTGCTCACAAGGTGCTCACAAGGTGCTCCCAAGATGTTCACAAGGTGCTCCCAAGGTGCTCACAAGGTGCTCACAAGGTTCTCCCAAGGTGTTCACAAGGTGCTCCCAAGGTGCTCCCAAGGTGCTCACGAGGTGCTCCCAAGGTGCTCACAAGGTGCTCCCAAGGTGCTCACAAGGTGCTCCCAAGGTGCTCACAAGGTGCTCACAAGGTGCTCCCAAGGTGCTCCCAAGGTTCTCCCAAGGTGCTCCCAAGGTGCTCACAAGGTGCTCCCAAGGTGCTCACAAGGTGCTCCCAAGGTGCTCCCAAGGTGCTCACAAGGTGCTCACAAGGTGCTCACAAGGTGCTCCCAAGGTGCTCCCAAGGTGCTCACGAGGTGCTCCCAAGGTGCTCACGAGGTGCTCCCAAGGTGCTCACAAGGTGCTCCCAAGGTGCTCACAAGGTGCTCCCAAGGTGCTCACAAGGTGCTCCCAAGGTGCTCACAAGGTTCTCCCAAGGTGTTCACAAGGTGCTCCCAAGGTATTCACAAGGTGCTCCCAAGGTGCTCACAAGGTTCTCCCAAGGTGTTCACAAGGTGCTCCCAAGGTGCCCACAAGGTGCTCCCAAGGTGCTCACAAGGTTCTCCCAAGGTGCCCACAAGGTGCTCACAAGGTTCTCCCAAGGTGCTCCCAAGGTGCTCCCAAGGTGCTCACAAGGTGCTCCCAAGGTGCTCACAAGGTGCTCCCAAGGTGCCCACAAGGTTCTCCCAAGGTGCCCACAAGGTGCTCCCAAGGTGCCCACAAGGTGCTCCCAAGGTGCTCACAAGGTTCTCCCAAGGTGCCCACAAGGTGCTCCCAAGGTGCCCACAAGGTGCTCCCAAGGTGCCCACAAGGTGCTCCCAAGGTGCCAGGAGACGCTGGCACACCAGCCCTCCACCAACACAAGCAACACAACAATAACACAACCAAAAAGGTACAGTTAAGAACTTTGAAAAAAGTAAAGAAAAAATAAGAGTAGCGAGTAAGGTAAGAGAGAACAATAAGACAGGAGAGTGTAATAGGGGGAGGAGGGGGGGGGAGGGGGGAAGAGAGGGTGAGGGGGGGTGATGGGGCACCCCTGGTGGGGAGGGGTAACACCGGCTGCCCCAGAGAAAGGCCCGCTACACTTTCCCTTTCATACACCTGAGACACTCTCCTTACCCTCCCCACCACCACTCCCCCCCACCACCATCACCCCCACCCCACCATCACCCCCACCACCACCACCCCTCACCATCAACCCCCCCCCAACCCCCCACCACCACCACTCCCCCCCACCACCACTCCCCCCCCACCACCACTCCCTCCCCACCACCACTCCCCCCCACCACCATCCCCCCCACCACCATCACCCCCACCCCACCATCACCCCCACCATCACCCCCACCACCACCACCCCTCACCATCAACCCCCCCCCAACCCCCCACCACCACCACTCCCCCCACCACCACTCCCCCCCCCCCACCACCACTCCCTCCCCACCACCACTCCCCCCCACCACCATCCCCCCCACCACCATCACCCCCACCACCATCACCCCCACCATCACCCCCACCACCACCACCCCTCACCATCAACCCCCCCCCCCCAACCCCCCACCACCACCATCAGCGACATATACCACTTTATAATTTACCAAATCAGAGATTGAATATTAAAGTCTATATATATAATTTTCCGTATAACTTATACTGTAGTTCAATAAGGTAAACACTGGATTACCTCAAGACAGGACTCGTTATGGTAGACAACCAATAGGGCAGTTATGATAACGGTCCCATACATAGTAGGGTTGTTACGGTGTGTGAAGAGTTGTGAGGTTAGTGAGTGGGGCTGGCACCACCCGCTCAGGCACCTCTGGTGGCACTGGTCACTGGCTGTAGGGTAACAAGGCTGTTATACCCCAGGTCAAGTGGAGTACAGTGTTGGCGGGTGTGGCGTGACCCCTCTGGCCACACCTGCACTCATACTCCCTCACACTGATATATGTATATATATATATATACACACTGTATCCCCCCAGCACATGTGCTGGGGGGCTACAGCACAACCCACCAACCACCATTCTCTCCACATTGTTCCCCCTCCCCCTTACCCCCCCCCCCCGTCTCCAACCCCCCCCTGCCCCTTGCAACACCCCCTCCCCCCCCCGGCCCCAGCCCCCCCCCCCCGGCCGTCGCTGGAGGGTGTAGGTAACCCAGTGATCTTGGCACCAGTTTTCCACGGAGAAGCAGTTTCACTTTTTAACGCAACGCCTAACGTCACCAGCGCCGCCTCCCCTTCATTTGTTTCACCCGCTCTTTGTCCTGGTGTTCAGGTGTGTCCTGGTGCTCAGGTGTGTCCTGGTGTTCAGGTGTGTCCTGGTGTTCAGGTGTGTCCTGGTGCTCAGGTGTGTCCTGGTGCTGTGGTGTGTCCTGGTGCTGTGGTGTGTCCTGGTGCTGTGGTGTGTCCTGGTGCTCAGGAGTGTCCTGGTGCTGTGGTGTGTCCTGGTGCTGTGGTGTGTCCTGGTGCTCAGGTGTGTCCTGGTGCTCAGGTGTGTCCTGGTGTTCAGGTGTGTCCTGGTGTTCAGGTGTGTCCTGGTGCTCAGGTGTGTCCTGGTGTTCAGGTGTGTCCTGGTGTTCAGGTGTGTCCTGGTGCTCAGGTGTGTCCTGGTGCTGTGGTGTGTCCTGGTGCTGTGGTGTGTCCTGGTGCTGTGGTGTGTCCTGGTGCTCAGGAGTGTCCTGGTGCTGTGGTGTGTCCTGGTGCTGTGGTGTGTCCTGGTGCTCAGGTGTGTCCTGGTGCTCAGGTGTGTCCTGGTGCTCAGGTGTGTCCTGGTGCTCAGGTGTGTCCTGGTGTTCAGGTGTGTCCTGGTGTTCAGGTGTGTCCTGGTGCTCAGGTGTGTCCTGGTGCTCAGGTGTGTCCTGGTGTTCAGGTGTGTCCTGGTGTTCAGGTGTGTCCTGGTGTTCAGGTGTGTCCTGGTGCTCAGGTGTGTCCTGGTGCTTCAGGTGTGTCCTGGTGTTCAGGTGTGTCCTGGTGTTCAGGTGTGTCCTGGTGCTCAGGTGTGTCCTGGTGCTCAGGTGTGTCCTGGTGCTCAGGTGTGTCCTGGTGCTCAGGTGTGTCCTGGTGCTCAGGTGTGTCCTGGTGCTCAGGTGTGTCCTGGTGCTCAGGTGTGTCCTGGTGTTCAGGTGTGTCCTGGTGTTCAGGTGTGTCCTGGTGTTCAGGTGTGTCCTGGTGCTCAGGTGTGTCCTGGTGCTCAGGTGTGTCCTGGTGTTCAGGTGTGTCCTGGTGTTCAGGTGTGTCCTGGTGTTCAGGTGTGTCCTGGTGCTCAGGTGTGTCCTGGTGCTCAGGTGTGTCCTGGTGCTCAGGTGTGTCCTGGTGCTCAGGTGTGTCCTGGTGCTCAGGTGTGTCCTGGTGCTCAGGTGTGTCCTGGTGCTCAGGTGTGTCCTGGTGCTCAGGTGTGTCCTGGTGTTCAGGTGTGTCCTGGTGCTCAGGTGTGTCCTGGTGCTCAGGTGTGTCCTGGTGTTCAGGTGTGTCCTGGTGCTCAGGTGTGTCCTGGTGCTCAGGTGTGTCCTGGTGCTCTCAGGTCAGTGGTGCTCAGGTGTGTCCTGGTGCTCAGGTGTGTCCTGGTGCTCAGGTGTGTCCTGGTGGTGTGTCTCAGGTGTGTCCTGATCAGGTGTGTCCTGGTGCTCAGGTGTGTCCTGGTGCTCAGGTGTGTCCTGGTGATGGTGTGTCCTGATGCTCAGGTGTGTCCTGGTGCTCAGGTGTGTCCTGGTGCTCAGGTGTGTCCTGGTGCCTCTCAGGTGTGTGCCTGTGTCCTGGTGCTCAGGTGTGTCCTGGTGCTCAGGTGTGTCCTGGTGCTCAGGTGTGTCCTGGTGATGGTGTGTCCTGGTGCTCAGGTGTGTCCTGGTGCTCAGGTGTGTCCTGGTGCTCAGGTGTGTCCTGGTGCTCAGGTGTGTCCTGGTGATGGTGTGTCCTGATGCTCAGGTGTGTCCTGGTGCTCAGGTGTGTCCTGGTGCTCAGGTGTGTCCTGGTGCTCAGGTGTGTCCTGGTGCTCAGGTGTGTCCTGGTGCTCAGGTGTGTCCTGGTGCTCAGGTGTGTCCTGGTGATGGTGTGTCCTGATGCTCAGGTGTGTCCTGATGCTCAGGTGTCCTGGTGCTCAGGTGTGTCCTGGTGCTCAGGTGTGTCCTGGTGTCCTGATGCTCAGGTGTGTCCTGGTGCTCAGGTGTGTCCTGGTGTCCTGGTGTCTGATGCTCAGGTGTGTCCTGGTGTTCAGGTGTGTCCTGGTGCTCAGGTGTGTCCTGGTGATGGTGTGTCCTGATGCTCAGGTGTGTCCTGATGCTCAGGTGTCCTGGTGCTCAGGTGTGTCCTGGTGCTCAGGTGTGTCCTGGTGCTCAGGTGTGTCCTGGTGCTCAGGTGTGTCCTGGTGTTCAGGTGTCCTGGTGATGGTGTGTCCTGGTGCTCAGGTGTGTCCTGATGCTCAGGTGTGTCCTGGTGCTCAGGTGTGTCCTGGTGCTCAGGTGTGTCCTGGTGATGGTGTGTCCTGATGCTCAGGTGTGTCCTGGTGCTCTGGTGTGTCCTGGTGCTCAGGTGTGTCCTGGTGTTCAGGTGTGTCCTGGTGCTCAGGTGTGTCCTGGTGATGGTGTGTCCTGATGCTCAGGTGTGTCCTGGTGTTCAGGTGTGTCCTGGTGTTCAGGTGTGTCCTGGTGCTCAGGTGTGTCCTGGTGATGGTGTGTCCTGATGCTGTAACAAGAGAGCAGTACATAGTACATGAACATCATAACAGCATGAACAGGCCACGTGGAGGATGAACAACCCACAGGCGCCAGTCAGGCGACGGCAGACAATGTAAAAGTTACACCTCTGTATAAGTTAGCCATAGAGTCAGGTCAACGGTCATCGAATCACAAAGAGGTCAGAATTGATGCCGTCATGGTAATCTTCAGGGATTAACCCCTAAACAACAAATGCAAAACCCTCATGTTCAGCTGAGGAGCAGTAGATCAGGAGAGTCAGTTGAGTGGGCACAGCCCAGTAGGGAGGTGTGTGTGGACTCTGGGAAAGAACATCATCTCCAGGGAAACTGTGGAACAACATACGAGTAAGTACGGCTCTCTTGTACTAAAGCACCTCATTCAGTACCCTTGGCCTCTAGTAGGGAATATAGTTAGGGAGTGTCTTATTTAATTATTTCAAATAAAGTCAGATATTAAGTGTTATTAAATGTGTATTAATGGTTCCTTGCTTTAGTGATATTGGGCCTACCGTCCCCTTTGCCCTAGTGACCTAGTGCTCTTAATTATTCAGTACTCCTCCCCCCGTTCGTCTTCCGTGTTGAGGTATTAGTGTTGGTGTGTCCCGCCTTATTCTTGTGTACACTATAGTTCCCAAGTGGTCAGGATTATTCGAGTGTCAGGCCAGGATCCTTGTACCGTTCAATTGTCCCCTACACCTGTCCTGGTAGGTTACTCCATCTGCAAGACCTACGACTCTCACTCCGGTCCCCTGTCCGGTAACTCAGGGTGGTGGCAGCGTCACTCGGTAACTCATACGATAGGTTGTGACTACGATTATCTCTATCTTTCTGTCTCACTCTCCCTCACTAGTGTCTCACTCTCCCTCGCCCTCACTCGCTCTCGTTCTCCCTCCCTTGCTCTCGTTCTCGCTCTCCTCTCTCTCTCCTCTCGCTCTGCCTCCCTCTTCCTCTCTCTCTCCTTCCTCTGTGTACTGGTTTACGTCTTCGTATGACGGCCCGAGTGTTAACATCTTATATGATCGGTATAGCATCTGTTATTACCATAGAAAGAGCGGAGATTGCACGGTTAGCTCAGTGGTAGTAGCGGAGTGCGCGGTCGAGATAGGGTCATTACAATGGTGGCTTAGCGGTGGTGAACATTGTTTTACAGTGTTCAGTCTCACGCGTCTTGTGCCGTTCGGTGTAGCTATTAAGTAGTTTTAAGCGGTGTTTCTGTTCAAATTATCGCGATTGACTGATTTACTCCAATTGAACGCGATAATCTGAGGTGTACTGGTATTGTACAGCATGCTAGTGTGGACTAGTGTGTCAGTTGACTCACGTCTAGGGACGCCTGGCGTTTGAAGTCTGGTCACAGGAGTGGCAAAAGTTTTGAGTTGTTGACCGGCGAAGAAGCTAGGAAAACACTCTGGGTCACGTGATGTGGCTGTAGGTTTAAGGAGTAAGAGTAACTATTAGTTAAGCTCATACGAGCAGTAATTACAGTTTCCCGATAGGAAGTACAAATAGTTTCTATCAGTGAATTATTGTTAATGAATAGTGCGTGGGAAATTGTGTATTGGTATCGCGTAGGAGAAGTTGTCTCAACGCGGTGAAAGTAATATCGATTATTATCTGTCATAAGAGCAGGCAGATTGAAAAGTAATTACGTTTTTGTTTTGTTTTAGAAGTGACATTGAAATTACCACCCTTGTTAAGTAAAGGGGCTAGTTATAACGACGTTGTGAGTTTTTGTCTTGTTCTCAGTGAATCATTGTTAGTTCCAAAGATTTTTTTTTTTTTTCAACATTTTTGGGTCAGCGCTAGTCCGGTGAACTAGTCGTTCAGACGTAGTTTATTGGCATCATGAGTTCAGATAGGGCTTTAAGGAGTCAGGGAGGGCTTAGCCAACAGAACCTTCTAGCAATACAGCCGAGACAGGCTGTCCAAGTGGATAGCACGGTTCAAGAGTCAGGTGACGATCCACAAGGTGCAGGTGATGGGGTCACATCAGGTCACATGCTGGGTAGCCGTCCTTTGTCCACCCCTGATACTCTGCAGCCTAATGACATCACCCCTCCCCCACTTCCTCCCAGACCGACCTCCCAACCCAACACCCCAGGGGCGCGGCGGCCTGCACCTTCCCCACATACCCCTCCCCAACCACCCCCCCTCCCACCTTACCCATCCTCAGAAATTAGGAAGCGCCTCTCTGAACCCCTATATGTGAACCTTACGGCAGGGCGCTTACATACGCCTACCCAGGGGTCCACCCAAGGGTCCGGTCAGGTGACTGTCCCCACCAATACCACCCCACCTCTCCCCCCTCGCAACCCCAACCTTGGTCAGACGACCAAACCCTCTTCTACCATCTCATGCCTTGCCCAGAACCAACCCCTAGAATCCCCTACCTCACACCACCACCCCACCCAACCCTCCCCCCCACCTGACCATCACTATAACTCTACCTTACACCAACCCTTCCCTCCCCATTACCAACCCTTCCCTAACCATTGCCAACATCTACACTCCATGCCCCCTGCGTCTCATGGTATGCGTCAGCCCCCATTGTCATCATTCTCATTGCCTAGACCAGTGTTACCCAAACTAATTTGCAAAGAATTACCAACAAATATAGTGGAACGTAACCGGAAAATAGACGACTGGCTAGGGCAAGTAGGTTCATGTTTGTCAGCTGCCCAGGATGACTGGGTAAAAATTAATTTAGCAGCAGGAGCGTGTATAGACCCTAATGGTTCAATAATGCAGGACCAAGAGTTTCAATATTTGCAAACATGGCCAGAGTTTGTGTTAGCAATTAAGAGACGATATAAAGAGAAAATAACAGAGGAAACAGCTAATAGGTATTTAGCTAGTTTAAAACGAGGCTCAAACGAAACTCTCAAAGACTTTGGAACTGGCATATTGCGTAGAGTGCGTGACTTGAGGCATGAATTAGGATACGATGACCTGAGAATTAGTCAGAAGGCTAAACAACTGTTGTGTATGTCAATCCCCGGGACACTTGGAGCTCACGTTTCGGCTGCAAGTGTAACGATGGATTACTATAGTTTAATAGAGTACGCTACGGACTTACAAAACATTCAGGGGCAGTGTAAGGATACAACTGAAACTAGACAATCCTCTTATGTCCAAGCGGTAGATACGAACAATTCGCATCGTGTTAAGGAGAGTGTAGGTAACTCTTCTAGCAACCAGAGGGGAGGGCACCATAGAGCAGGTCCGCCTCCTCACTGGTACTACACCTATGACCCCAGGTGTTGGAGTTGTGGCGGACGAGGCCACAAACGAGATGACTGCCCCAATAGTAATGAGGAAATATGAGATAAGGCCCCCAAGGAGGAAGGGCGGCCCACTTTTGAAGTGAGGGTGTGCGGGAAGAGGTTGACTGCATTCCTGGACACTGGTAGTCAGGTAACCATCATTAAGATGGACTCATTTAGGACCTTCAGTCAGGTGCGCCTTAAGGAAGGGGGTGCACAATTAACAGCTGTCAATGGTCAACACTTTGACGTTCTGGGAAAATGTATTTTAACTTTTAACATTGAAAAAGATAAACCTTGTATCCATGAGTGTACTGTGGTGGATAATGTAACATTCCCTGGTGATATATTGTTAGGCATGGATTTTTTGAAACGATTTACGTATTCTTTGACATCGGAGAAGGGAGCAAGACACAGTAGGCTACAGTTGGGATCTGTGTCTTTCCCAGTAAAGTTAACTGATCACCCTCCCATAATTGCTTCAATTCAACGAGCACCTAAATATGTAAACCTTCCTAAACAATTGTTCAAGTCTCTTCAAGACCCTGACAAGAAAACATGTAGACTACATGCTGTACACAGACAAGTATGTCCACCACGGTCATTTAAGTTTATTAAAGTCGCCGTAGGAAGAAACATTCAACCCGGAAGTACCCTTCAGGTAGCTGGCAGAATTGATAAGTTGATGATACCATATACTCTGGTATCTGTACATGACAAAGGTGCGATAATACCAGTGGTCAACCTCTCTCACAAACCTTATCGCTTTAGGGTGGGCGATAGTCTGACACAAGGAATTGTGGTAAATTTAAAAGAAATAATAGAGTCAGATACCACACAAACATCGACTGTAGCAGCGCAATGTAGCGCATTGAACGTAAGAGAAGAGGAGTCACACAGTAAGATCGGTAAAGAAACCCCGTTATCTCCTCAAGATAAGGAAATGGTGGACAAATTAATAACTGCTCTAGATTTGACTCATATGTCACCTGCTGAACGTAAACAGGTACGGGAAGTCCTCCGTAAATTTCCTAGGTTATTTGCGACCGAGGATGAGGAAATAGGCTACCTGCCTCAAGTCGAACACACCATTCCAACAGGTGATAATCCTCCGGCCCAAACACGTCAATGGAGACTCCCAGAGCAGGCGAAACAACTTATTAGAGATGAGTGTAGAAAGATGATGAGACAGGGCGTTATAGAAGAGAGCACGTCACCGTGGCTTTCCCCAGTAGTGCTAGTACGCAAACCTGATGGTAGTTACAGGTTCTGTGTAGATTACCGTAAAGTGAACGAAGTGACAACAGCGGACGCTTATCCTCTGCCTCTCATTCAGGAAATCATAGACCAGTTTGGCACAGCTAAGTACTTCTCGACACTTGACGCAAAGTCAGCGTATTGGGCCATACCAGTTGCAAAGCAAGACAGAGAAAAAACAGCATTTTCGGATGGTGTGCGGACTTACCATTTCAAGCGTATGCCATTTGGATTAAAAACAGCTCCTTCATCTTTTCAGAGGGCGATAAATTATATTCTAAGCCCTGTTCTCGGTAGGCACTCACTGGCGTACCTTGATGATGTTGTAGTGTACTCTAGAACTTTTGATGAACACCTCCATGATTTGACAGAGACCTTGTCGTTGTTGAACAAGGCGAGGTATCGCTTCAGGGTCATTACAATGGTTCTGAAGGATAATCCTCTCCATAACTAATAGTATGTCTGTTAAGCAGACCTGACGCAAAATTACACGAGTGTCCAGTAAACAGCAAGAGTGGTTGAGTATTTATTGACTGGTGCACTGCGGTGTTTAGTGCAAACTGAACAAAGGGCAATTGTTCATCCTCCACGTGGCCTGTTCATGCTGTTATGATGTTCATGTACTATGTACTGCTCTCTTGTTACATATCCCCCAATGTCCCGGTTTAAGAAAAACCGTGGGCGAGGAACTCGAACATGGCTTTTCTTATCCCAGACCATAAAGGAACTAGCACATGCCTCGAAAAAAAATAGCTACCCTATCTAAATATATACATTTCACAGTCGAGAAATATTTATAAAGACTCTCAACAATAACAGTTACCATGGTAACTCAAAATCCAGGCTGACCATACCTGCATGGCAGCCCATCAATCCTCTCAGATGACCAATCAACATTTGAAAAAAAATAACACAATTTATGATGACCAATTAAATTTATATTGGAACCATCTTTCCGCTGGTTCCCCAGTTCACCAGAGTCTACACAAAAATTTTCGTTCATAACTTATTTTCTCTGTAACGGTGAACTCCAAGTTTTCTGAACTTAAAAAAATTACATATATATTGTATATACAAATTAACAAAGTCTTTATTCCCGACGAGTCCGTTGTCCCGATGTTGTTGACTCGCCCATTGCTGTATTCTTGCTGTAGTTCTGCAACGATGCGTCGTGTTCTTCACCAACGATGTTCTTCAGCTGGCCTCAGTTGTTGTGAGAAGAGATCCACTCCCCTCCTGACTAGAGTCTTCCACTGATCTAGTCCACAATCTGCAGTACATCCGCGCTGCTGGTCCCTACTTCCGGGTCGTCGACGAGACGATGACGTCGGTGTTGACAGCGATGATTGACTTGCTGTCCGGTCACAGGGGGAACTCTGGCGTACCTGGGTTCCATCCTCTTGTAAGATGTTGTCGCCTGCTGAACGTCTGCTGGCGATGTTCTGCCTGCCGCATACATGTTGCCTTCCTGGGAGTACTGAGACGTTGACACCAGACGAGGTCTTGCTTGATGAGTGAACAGCTCCAGTTCGTTGAGGGGGGGTGGGCGTGGCGGCAGAACCCTCGGGTCCCGGCTCCAGCTCTTGGGTTCCATCCGCTTACAGGTGTTTCTTCTGCTACGTCGTACTAGGCCTTTACGACTTTCTTCGTTATCCCACCGCTGCCACCATTGTAATGTATCTATCTCGACCGCGCACTCCGCTACTACCACTGAGCTAACCGTGCAATCTCCGCTCTTTCTATGGTAATAACAGATGCTATACCGATCATATAAGATGTTAACACTCGGGCCGTCATACGAAGACGTAAACCAGTACACAGAGGAAGGAGAGAGAGAGGAAGAGGGAGGCAGAGCGAGAGGAGAGAGAGAGGAGAGCGAGAACGAGAGCAAGGGAGGGAGAACGAGAGCGAGTGAGGGCGAGGGAGAGTGAGACACTAGTGAGGGAGAGTGAGACAGAAAGATAGAGATAATCGTAGTCACAACCTATCGTATGAGTTACCGAGTGACGCTGCCACCACCCTGAGTTACCGGACAGGGGACCGGAGTGAGAGTCGTAGGTCTTGCAGATGGAGTAACCTACCAGGACAGGTGTAGGGGACAATTGAACGGTACAAGGATCCTGGCCTGACACTCGAATAATCCTGACCACTTGGGAACTATAGTGTACACAAGAATAAGGCGGGACACACCAACACTAATACCTCAACACGGAAGACGAACGGGGGGAGGAGTACTGAATAATTAAGAGCACTAGGTCACTAGGGCAAAGGGGACGGTAGGCCCAATATCACTAAAGCAAGGAACCATTAATACACATTTAATAACACTTAATATCTGACTTTATTTGAAATAATTAAATAAGACACTCCCTAACTATATTCCCTACTAGAGGCCAAGGGTACTGAATGAGGTGCTTTAGTACAAGAGAGCCGTACTTACTCGTATGTTGTTCCACAGTTTCCCTGGAGATGATGTTCTTTCCCAGAGTCCACACACACCTCCCTACTGGGCTGTGCCCACTCAACTGACTCTCCTGATCTACTGCTCCTCAGCTGAACATGAGGGTTTTGCATTTGTTGTTTAGGGGTTAATCCCTGAAGATTACCATGACGGCATCAATTCTGACCTCTTTGTGATTCGATGACCGTTGACCTGACTCTATGGCTAACTTATACAGAGGTGTAACTTTTACATTGTCTGCCGTCGCCTGACTGGCGCCTGTGGGTTGTTCATCCTCCACGTGGCCTGTTCATGCTGTTATGATGTTCATGTACTATGTACTGCTCTCTTGTTACAATGCTCAGGTGTGTCCTGGTGCTCAGGTGTGTCCTGGTGCTCAGGTGTGTCCTGGTGATGGTGTGTCCTGCGTCTGGTGTGTACTGGTGCAGGTGTGTCCTGCGTCTGGTGTGTCCTGCGTCTGGTGTGTCCTGCGTCTGGAGTGTACTGTTGCAGGTGTGTCCTGGTGCTCAGGTGTGTCCTGCGTCTGGTGTGTACTGGTGCAGGTGTGTCCTGTGTCAGGTGTGTACTGGTGCAGGTGTGTCCTGCGTCTGGTGTCCTGTGTCAGGTGTGTACTGGTGCAGGTGTGTCCTGCGTCTGGTGTCCTGTGTCAGGTGTGTACTGGTGCTGGTGTGTCCTGTGTCTGGTGTGTCCTGCGTCTGGTGTGTACTGGTCCAGGTGTGTCCTGTGTCTGGTGTGTCCTGCGTCTGGTGTGTACTGGTGCAGGTGTGTCCTGGTGCTCAGGTGTGTCCTGCGTCTGGTGTGTACTGGTGCAGGTGTGTCCTGTGTCTGGTGTGTCCTGCGTCTGGTGTGTACTGGTGCAGGTGTGTCCTGTGTCTGGTGTGTCCTGCGTCTGGTGTGTACTGGTGCAGGTGTGTCCTGTGTCTGGTGTGTCCTGCGTCTGGTGTGTACTGGTGCAGGTGTGTCCTGGTGCTCAGGTGTGTCCTGCGTCTGGTGTGTACTGGTGCAGGTGTGTCCTGTGTCTGGTGTGTCCTGCGTCTGGTGTGTACTGGTGCAGGTGTGTCCTGGTGCTCAGGTGTGTCCTGCGTCTGGTGTGTACTGGTGCAGGTGTGTCCTGTGTCTGGTGTGTCCTGCGTCTGGTGTGTACTGGTGCAGGTGTGTCCTGTGTCTGGTGTGTCCTGCGTCTGGTGTGTACTGGTGCAGGTGTGTCCTGTGTCTGGTGTGTCCTGCGTCTGGTGTGTACTGGTGCAGGTGTGTCCTGGTGCTCAGGTGTGTCCTGCGTCTGGTGTGTACTGGTGCAGGTGTGTCCTGTGTCTGGTGTGTCCTGCGTCTGGTGTGTACTGGTGCAGGTGTGTCCTGGTGCTCAGGTGTGTCCTGCGTCTGGTGTGTACTGGTGCAGGTGTGTCCTGTGTCTGGTGTGTCCTGGTGCTCAGGTGTGTCCTGCGTCTGGTGTGTACTGGTGCAGGTGTGTCCTGTGTCTGGTGTGTCCTGGTGCTCAGGTGTTCATTTTTCACCACACTTCCTCACACGGACTGTCTCACCCTACTTGATACCTGCTTGATGGGGGTTCTGGGAGTTCTTCTACTCCCCAAGTCCGGCCCGAGGCCAGGCTTGACTTGTGAGAGTTTGGTCCACCAGGCTGTTGCTTGGAGCGGCCCGCAGGCCCACATACCCACCACAGCCCGGCTGGTCCGGAATTTCTCTTAAAAGACAGTCCAATTTTCTCTGGAATATGTCCACGGTTGTTCCGGCAATATTTCTTATAGTCGCTGGGAGGACGTTGAACAACCGTGGACCTCTGATGTTTATACAGTGTTCTCTGATTGTGCCTATGGCACCTCTGCTCTTCACTGGTTCAATCTTTCTTGTTCTTCCATATCGTTTACTACAGTATGTTGTTATTTTACTGTGTAGATTTGGGACCTGGCCCTCCAGTATCTTCCATGTGTATATTATTTGGTATCTCTCTCGTCTCCTTTCTAGAGTACATTTGGAGAGCTTTGAGACGATCCCAATAATTTAGGTGCTTTATCGCGTCTATGCGTGCCGTATATGTTCTCTGTATTCCCTCTATTTCAGCAATCTCTCCTGTTCTGAAGGGGGAAGTGAGTACTGAGCAATACTCAAGACGGGACAACACAAGTGATTTGAAGAGTACCACCATTGTGATGGGATCTCTGGACTTGAAAGTTCCCGTAATCCATCCTATCATTCTTCAAGCTGACGCAATATTTACTTGGTTATGCTCCCTAAACGTTAGGTCGTCAGACATCATTATTCCAAAATCCTTTACATGCTGTTTTCCAACTATGGGCAGATTTGATTGTGTTTTATACCCTGTATTATGTTTAAAGTCCTCATTTTTACCGTACCCGAGTACCTGGAATTTATCACTGTTAAACATCATGTTATTTTCTGATGCCCAGTCGAAAACTTTATTAATATCAGCTTGAAGTTTTTTAATGTCTTCAACCGAGGTAATTTTCATACTGATTTTTGTGTCATCTGCAAAGGATGATACGAAGCTGTGACTTGTATTTTTGTCTATATCTGATATGAGAATAAGGAAAAGCAGCGGTGCAAGGACTGTACCCTGAGGTACAGAACTTTAAACTGCACTTGGACTAGATTTTATATGGTTGACTGTTATTCGCTGAGTCCTGTTTGACAGAAAAACTGAGTATCCAGCGTCCTACTTTACCGGTTATTCCCATTGACTTCATTTTGTGTGCTATCAAATAGGTGATAGGTGTCACCTCCCTCTCACACCACAGGTGAGAGGTGGCCCCCTCCCTCTCACACCACAGGTGAGAGGTGGCCCCCTCCCTCACACCA